GATGAATATATAGATGAATATATAGATGAATATATAGATGAATATATTGATGAATATATAGATGAATATATTGATGAATTTATAGATGAATATATTGATGAATATATAGGTGAATATATAGATGAATATATTGATGAATATATAGGTGAACATAAAGATGAATATATAGATGAATATATAGGTGAATATATAGGTGAATATATAGATGAATATATAGGTGAATATATAGATGAATAGATGAATATATGGATGAATAATAATATTTACAAAAATACCTTTTATGTTTTGTGTGTGTTTGTCACCTATTGGTGAATAATTACTAACTGCCTTAACCTTATCTATCCTCCTAGCTTCACCTACAGATAAGAACACTAAAACACAAATTATTATTTGATCCATTTTTATAATTTTATTATTTTATAATTTAAGATTGTACAAATGAGATGAAAGTAATTTCTTGCAGAATTATTGAATTATAGTGTTCAAATATCTGAGTAATGTATAATGTAAAATTTGTTAAAATAAAACGTTTCCCAGATTTTTTAGTTTTGTTAAAAATGTTGCTACAGTGGTAGGCGATCATATCAATAAAATGAAGACGACTTTCGATTTCAAATCTGATTTTTATCAAGCTGTTAAATAGCATGGATACAGAAGCACAGAAGTCAGGAGAAGCTATCAATTAAAAAAGCTTTTCTTTGATTACTTGCAAACTTGTAAGTAATTCGAAAAAAGTTTTTTAACAATCAAAACTTAAATAAAAAATTTGTCTTCATTGTATTGATATAATCTCCTACCATTGTAGATTATTTATGTTTTAAAATTTGTTACTTTCATTTTTCTGATCGATTGAGTTGGTAATACAAATAAATAAAAAAATTTTTTTTTCTTTTTTCCCCTATTTTTTTCCTGGGGTCATGTAAAAAATTCGGGCCCAATAATACAACCGTTTGGACGATACTGCAGGTAGACGAACAAGCTAATTATTTTGAAGGCTGAAATTCGGGCCCGATAATACAACCGTTTGGACGATACTGCAGGTAGACGAACAAGATTTTGAAATTTGTCCACTTTTAAAAAATATTTTCTGAAATGTGCATTTTGTTAGAATTGGAAAAGACAAAGATACCTGACTACAGCTGTGGAGAATGAGCCTGAGTGTAAGAAACCAGGCGATAAATTCCGGACAGTCGTCTCTGAAGTCTTAATTCTTTGTGGATATTATATTGTATAATTTCAGTGTTAATCACCACAAACAATCCATAATAATGAATAAGCTTAAATTTTAACATTTTTCAGTTTATAATCTAATTAAACTTAATTAAGCATTATTTTAATTTATTCAAATAAAAAGAATATTTTCACTTTTAATTATCAGCTTCCCTTTGTTTACATGTTTGTTTTGTTGTCTGGTAAAGGTATCCCTTAAACATTTATCTGATTAATAATGTGTTGAAGATAACTTTGTTTTTTTAGCTAAAAAGTTTTTCAGTTTATTTCTTCGTGATTTTTCTGCAGTTATCGAAATGCACAAGTCACTTTTGTCAAGTTAAACTCAGGAGACATCAAAAGAATTAAAAAAAATGTCATTATGCAAATTTTTTAATGGGTTTTGTTCAATCATACCTAAATCTCTGTAACTATTGAAATAAATAATTTGCCATGAAATATGCAGGAACAGTTAAAAAAACCAAATATTTGCAGCATTTCAGTAGATTTAGATAACGACATTTATAACTTCTTTCTACCAAATATTTGCAGCATTTCAGTAGATTTAGATAACGACATTTATAACTTCTTTCTGTGGCTTTGAAGTTCTGGATTAAACTGTATAGAACCCACTACTGAAAATAATCAGTTTTTTTTTGTGACAGAAATAATCTCATGAACATAACCGAGGGTCAACCCAGACCGAATATATTTTCAATAAATGTGGAACTAACATCCAATTTTTTTATTCTACAGAGGTTTGGTCCATCACCATCACCGAATTTTAAAATCAAATTTACATGGATATTATATTCATACTTGATCATCATCCAAAAGTTTTCTATAGTCTTAACATATTTAGGGTCACTTGAAATATAGCATTTTACCCTGTCTTCATTCAAGTTGGTTAGAAACCATAGGTTTAATATTGCCTTGAAATATATCAGAATTAATGTAGGATTTTCATCATGATTAACTATATAGCTTTATTGAATATTTTTCGTGAAAAAGTAGAATTTCTCATAAAGTAAGACGATATTCATTCATTTCTTTTCTTTTCCTAATGAAGTGGTGATATCAAATAGGTTGTCAACAGGGAGTAAGGAATAGAAGGGAGATATAACTGATGCGGTTCGCCCTACCAAATGATTGTACATGCTTTGCAGACGGTACTTCATTTGAATAAGAAATATTTGTCTGATGTACAATTACCGCGTATACAATAACCAATTCTGAATATTTCTTATACAAATGGAGTACAATCTGCAATATAATGAATCTCTACAAAGATTTGCCATTAATTTAATAATTTAAGCACTTTTTAAAATTTTATATATTTCTATGTATTCCCAAAATTGTAAAATACGACATCTGAGAAAAAATTGAATATCCTGGGAAGACGACATTTCATTCGAAAATTACCTTTTCTTGTTGCCTGTATTTTTCCATTATCTTAGGGTTTATCCTCGATTAAACCTATCCAGAGCACTACCCCGAATATATCATTAAACATTTCAGAAATACGTTTTAACGTTATACTTTCCAATTACAATGTTAAAGGGCCATGGACAAAATCAGTTTCAACCCTGTTTTTTAGGCAATAGAACGTTAAATGATGAAGTGTAAAAACAGAAAAAAAAAGAATATATAAAATTGTACTGATTTTACTAAAAGATTAGCACTTTAAGTCTTACATAATCACTTTTATTTATAGTTTTTTCAGACACAAAATTTGAGTTGACACTTATGACGTCAATACAGCTGTACTGAAAGTGTACGCATTTTGTGTTGCCATCTATTGTACTTGACAACCTATTTGATATCAACAGTTAGAGGAAATGTCGTCTTTCTTTTTATATTTGACACTGGTGACGTTGTGCGCAGTTGGTCGAATTTTCTGTAGCCATCTATTGTACTTGACAATCTATTTGGGTGATATAAAGTTAAAATAAGCCCAAAGAAAAACCACCACTGAACAAGTTAAAAGGGGGTACCAACACAATTCAGTTTATTTTGCATTTTTTGAACTTTCAATTTCTTCACAAGAAATCCATAGAACAGAGATTTGAATAGAAGGGAAATAAGACTATCCCTCGGTATGAATTTGCTCAGTCCCTTTGAGCCTGAAAAGGAGTTCAAAGTGTACAATTCATGTAAATGTTTACAAATTATACGCAGTACAGGGCAATGATACAGTATTATCCCGGAGCCCGAAATTTAAAAGAGTCTCTTTCCTTTGAACGAAACCTTCAAGTTTCCTTATTGGGGTCTTAACATTTGTGTAGATTATGATTTAAGAGATTCGAAAAAATGGAGAATATGAAGAAATAAAATAAAATAATATTTCATATCAAAAATATTAATATCCACAAAACTGCCTAAACCCATTCGTGAAACCCCAAAAGGAAACATTTTTACAGACTTTTTGTGCCGATGGCGAAGTTGGCGGGTAAATAATTCTTGACTTTTTACGTTCGCCATCGGTTTGTTGGAAACTAAATGTTTGCAGGGCCGTGCTCCAAAACTGGTTTTTATACTCTGTCTTAAGTTTTGGGCTCGGGACATATCCGTTACAATATTTTCTTTCCATAAAGTTTATGTTGAAATGTACTTGGGAGTGTAAAGTAAAGCTTATGCTGAAATGAACTCGGGACTGCATGACAGAATGTCAGTGAATTGATTTAGAGAAAATAAAATAATTTTGAAGATTTTTTCTTCTCTAAAAATATGTTCCAGGGTCTAAAAAGTTATATAATGCATGCTACTTTTTTCGACTTTATTTCATTCTATTTTTATCTATTCTCTTTGAATAAATCCCTTTTTTCCCCCTTCAAACTAAATTCAGTCTGAAAAGTCTGAACCCTGTGCCCAAATTGAAACAGCCATCTCATTATGTTGTTATTATACCATGCGAAAGAAATTGAATCTTAGTTACAAACTTAAATTTTCCAATTCCTATATCCCTGCAAATTTGGGTTTGTGTCAAAGACTTGTTTCCTTTTGTGTATGGCTAAAGTATGATATCCAAATAAAGAGGGGAAACCACCTTGGAAAAGTATGGGAAGCTAGCTTCTTAAATTCTATTTTAAGTAAGGATAAGAAAATTTCCCTAAGGATCACATAATTAAAAAAATTGTTTATTTTTATAAAGGTATTATTACCTTTCATGCAGTCCCATAGCTAGGCTAAATTTCAAGGGGGGCTCACATTTTGCCTGCAGTTTTGCAATTGTTCCCTCAAGAGCTATTGAGAAGCTTTGCATCAAAACAAAAAATTTCCTTTTAAACTGGAGAAATAATGCAATAACATAAAACTTTGTTCAGAATAGATATTATAATAAGATTTAAGTTAAAAAGTAGAAGACTATTTTTTATTTATTCCCCCCCCCCCGTGACTAAATCCTAGAACCGCCCTTGCTAAGGTCGTCTTCTAACTTTTTTGCTTGTTGGAACAGCCGGTATGTATTCTGCATTGAATAACGAAAATCAGCGGATTTTTGCGAAAGATAATATTATAAAGTTTGGAAACCCTTACTACCAGAAAAATATCAAACTATGCATTAAAATTAAAATCAAGCTAATAACTTTATAAAAAGAAGAAATTGTAACGGAGATGTCCAGAGCCCAAAACTTAAGGGTATCGTCATGAAACCCAGTATTGGAAACCCAGTTTCGCGAATGAGGGTAAAGCAATTTTGTAGAAATCAATATATTTTTAGAGAAATATAATTTTATATGGTTAGTTTAAATTCTCTCTTTATTTTCTACTTATTGGTGTTAATCTACACATTGTACACTATTGTAATGTACTAGGCGTATAATATGTGAACATTTACATAAAATGTACACTATAAACTCCTTTTAAGGCTCAAAAGGACTGGGCCTTCCCTTCTATATAAATATTCTCTATTCTGTCTTTAAAAGGTCCTGAGGAGACTATTTTTAAAGACCAAACTCAACCTGAAAATCATCAATTTTAGGTCGTCATTAAATTCTAATCCTTTGATGGTAACCCTGTGCGTACTTTATGATCAGATTTGCGAATGAATGTAGAGTAGAACAAAGATAATCACTACGGTACCCTCCAAGACAATGTGTGATCAAGCTGATCAAAATCCTGGGATCAAGCATTGATTTACGTATTTTAG